GGGGGGGCCAAAAAACGTATATTAAAAAACCCCCTATGTAGTCAGTTTTTTCTTGCCCCTTTTTGCGCCCAACCCTTTCCCCTTCCCCAGACACTGTGGGGCCCCGTGCGCTCGGGGGTTTTCCCCCTTTTCCCTGGAAGGGGGGGGGGGGGGGGGGGTGGTAGGGGCAGTGGCAGCTCCACCAGCACGGCTTTCCCCAGTCCCGCAGTCGAGATGAGTACTTTCCCTTTACCCCGCGCAGTGAGGAAAAATACAACCCGCCGCGCGGCAGCGCATAGGTGGGGCCTGGAGGGAGGACCTCAAACAACAGGCTTGGGTTTATTGGACGCACCCCGCCCAAACCGGGGGTAGACAATCCCCCTTTATATTTGGGGGAAGAAACTTTACCCTTTTGGCCCCCAAATGCTGAATTTGGCCCCTTTAAAGGCTGTCTTGGGCCCCGGGCCCGTTTGGTGGCCCCTTCCCGGGGGCGTGTTTATTGCGGCCCGGAGGTATTGAAACTCGCGGGGGGACACGACTGTCCAACCCCCAAAATGTGGAGAGACCACGTTTGTGAAAATGAAACAGGGGTTTTGGGGGTTGTTGGATTTCAAAAACCCCCAGTTCCCCGGGCACAACGACTAAATCCCCCCTGAATTTATTTCCCCCAAATGTGCCAATTTTAGGGGTTTCCCCCACTGCTGGGTGTTCCATTTTTTTTTCCCTTGGGTGCTGGCAGATTAGGGTCCCATTTTTGCTGCCAGGCCCTTTTAAACTGCCATGGGCCCCCTTTTAACCCCCCTCCCCTTTTTGCTGCCAGGTCCAAGTTCTCATTTTGGGGCCCCCGTTCCGCCTCCCATTGCTGCTGTCTCCATCCCACAAATCTGCCTTGGGGGCCCCTTTCAGGTTCCTCACACTGCTGGTGTGTTCCTTTTGTCTTTGGGTGTGGGAGATTAAAGGGGCCCCCCAATTGCTGCTGCCCGGCCCCCAATTTTGCCAAAGGGGGCCCCCTGTTATCCCAGGGGAACCCCCCCCCCGCCCCCACCCCGGCCTCCCCTTTTTTTTAAAAGGGGTGGGGTTGGGGCCCGGTCCCAGAATCTCCCATGGGGTCCCCCCCTGGGGGGAACCCGGGCCCTTCCCATTGGGTGCTGTCTTTCCCTCGCCCCCCACTCTCCATGTGCCACTTTTAGGTTTTCCCACAGCTGGTGTTTCCATTTTTTATAGGGTGCTGGCAGATTAGGGTTCCCCTTGCGCTGCCCGGGCCCGTAAACTGCCCTGGGCCCCCGTTTCCCGCCTCCCCCCGCTTTCTGCCCCCGGCCCGAGTGTTCCCTGGGTCCCCGTTTCGGCCCCCCTTGCCCGCTGGTTTTCCAAACGCCAAAACTCTGCCCATGTGCCAATTTTAGGTCTCCTCACAATGCTGGGGTGTTCCATTTTGTCCCTAGGGTGCTGGCAGGGTTTCGGGGGCCCCCCATTGCCCGCTGCCAGAAACCCCTAATTTTGCCAGGGCCCCTGTAAACCCCCCTCCTCAAAGCTGCTGCCAGGCCCTTTAAACTGTCATGGGTCCCCGGGAGGCCCCCCATTGCTGCTGTCTATCGCCCCCCCACTTTTGCCATGTGCCCCTTTCAGGTCTCCTCACACTGTGGGTGTTCCATTTTTTATAGGGGGGCTGGCAGATTAGGGGGCCCCCCCATTGGGTGCTCCAGGCCCGTAATCTGCCCGGGCCCCCGGCCCCCCCTCCTCATGCTGCTGCCCCGTTTTCCCGAGTGGGTCTCATGGGGCCCTGTACGGGGGGTTTCCCCTTGCTGCTGGGCTCCATCCCCCACACTCTGCCATGTGCCCCCTTTTTTTTTGGGCTCCTCAAAACTGCTTGGTTTTTTCCATTTTTTTCATGGGGGGGCTGGCAGATTTACGGGGGCCCCCCTTTGCTGCTGCCAAAGGGCCCCTAATCTGCCATGGGCCCCCGTACCCCCCTCCTCTGCTGCTGCCAGGTCCCCAGTGTCTCATGGGTCCCTGTACGGTCCCCTTGCGCTGTCTTTCCCTCGCCACAAAACTGCCATGTGCCCCTTTCAGGTCTCCTCACACCCCTTGGGTTGTGTTTCCCTTTTGTCATAGGGTTTTGGGGATTACGGGCCCCCCCATTGCTGCTGCCAGGCCTGTAATCTGGGCCCTGGGCCCCCGTAAACCCCCTCATTTTGGGGGCCCAGGTCCAAGAGTCTTCAAAAGGGTCCCGTTACGGCCTTTTCCCCCTTTTTCTGCGTCTCCATCGCCACACTTGCCAAAGGCCCTTTCAAAAGGGCTCCCCCAAAATGTGGGGTGTTCCATTTTTTTCATAGGGTGCTGGAAAATTTAAGGGCTTCCCATTGCGCTGCCAGGCCCCTTTTAAACTGCCCTGGGGCCCCCGTAACCCCCCTCCTCATTGCGCCAGGTCCAGAAAACTCCTATGGGGTTCCCCCCGTAAAATGGGCCCCCCCATTGCTGCTGTCTTTCCCTCGCCACAAAACCCGCCAGTGCCCCTTTCAGGTCTCTACACTGACTGGTGCTGTCATTTTGTTCCTAGGGTGTGGCAGATATATGGGACTCCATTGCTTGCTGCCAGGCCCGTAATCTGCCATGGGCCCCGTACCGCCTCCTCCTGTGCTGCAAGGTCCAGCGTTTTCATGTGGTCCCTGTACGGCTGCCATTGCTGCTTGTTTTTCTCCTCGCACACTTGCTATTGCCCTTTCAGGTCTCCTCACACTGGGTTGTGTTCATTTTGTTCATGGGTTGCTGGCAGATTCGGGCCCCATTGCTGCTGCCAGGCCGTAATCTGCATGGGCCTGTACCGACTCTATAGCTGTGACGTTGCAAACAAGGATGGAATTCAACCCTACATATGGTTAACCGCCTTTGACGAACAGCGAAAGGCCATCACGATTTTCCAGATGTTCAAGCGGAATAAAGGTACTCCCCTGTGTAACTAGATGTCAGCCATTGGCAGCTCATGCGTGACAATCCTGCCGCTTGCTCTAGGCTACCTTTTGAGGTAACAGCCACGCGTATTCGTGAGTCGGCAGGGACTTTATGGGTAACATGAGCGACGTCATTTCCTCTGTTACACGATCCTGAAACAAATGCTGGGGCTGTTACCACATGGCTGGTCAAGGGTGCGGGTAGACGTGGCGCACAGATCTCTAACGCCACATGACCCTGTCGGGCGGCAGGACAGGAAGAAGAGGAGGGGGCGGTAGAGCGAGGACATTGGTGTCCTGGTATTATTGAAGTGAAAATGGGTGGGTTTTTTCCACTCAGCGGACAGGAAGTGGAGGCTAGCAGGAGCGCATCTGAGGGTAGAGGAGGAGGTGGAGATCAGAGGGACCCAGACGCACCGTGGCAGTATGCTTGTGGAGATGGAGCAGCATTGAAGTCCCTCGCATTCCTTGGCACAAATGGCCCATTAAGCATGCTCTGCGTTGTTTGCTTGCGTTAGCGGGACAGACCCGAAATAATAAACCATCAGACAGAGGGATGACTTATTTGGTGTCCACCTTGTTGGTACCCTCGCTATCCGTTCAAAATGGTGGCCTTTTTCACACCTGCTGAGAGGGAGGCCAAAATACCGTACTATAAAAACACCTATGTAGTCAGGTTGGTCTCGTGCCTTTCCTGCGCCAACGTCCATGTCCTCATGACACTGTTGGGCCCTGTGCGCTTGCGTTTCACCGCTGCCATGGCAGCAGGGGAGGTGGGTGGGGTGTGTAGGAGCAGTGGCCAGCTCCTACCAGCAGCAGCTGCCTCAGTCTGCAGTCGATGATGAGTAGCTTTCATTCATACCAGCGCAGGTGAGGAAACACTAAACTAGCTAACCCAGCAGCAGAGCAGCGCATCAGGTGGCCTGGAGCAGGACCTCAAACACACAGGCTTGGGCCTACTTGGACAGCACCCTGCCAACCGAAGAGGTAGACAATCCCCTTGACTACTGGGCAACGAAAACTTGACCTTTGGCCCCACTAGCTGAAATTTGGCCCTTGAAAAAGGCTGTTCATGCTCCGGCCAGTAAGCTTTGGCATCGGAGGCGCGTGTTTAGTGCGCAGCCGTGTATTGTAACTCCGCGGAGACCACGACAGGTCCACCCAAAAGTGTTGGAGAGACATCACTGTTTGTTGCCAAGAATGGTGGAATCACCTGCTTTTTGATTGAGTGTCAGGGCTGGCCAGGGGTGTACCGCAAACCACCAGAGTCAACCTTTCAGCAGTAACAGACCTGGAAATGCCATGATACGTGGGGTCATTTACGAGATGGCCAGACTTTGCAGGATCATGCTTGGTCTTTTTTAGTCCTGGGCCCTCTGTATTGGTCCTGCTTCCTGTTTCAGTTCCTGTTGTAACTCCTGCGCTGAGGACAGACTGGCCACCCTGACCATCCCTCTGTCTGACCCTGTGGAGCTTGTACCTGGTTTTGTCCTGGTTGTGGGACCTCCCTCTGCCTGACCCTCAGGCGTGGCTACCTGTTGCTGATCTGGATTGTGAAACCGGACCATCTTGCCAGACCCTCTGTACTATGGCTGCTTGTACTGCTGAACCTTGCTGTGACCCTACATTCTGCGTTGCTCCGCTTTACCTTACTGCCCAATTGATCATTGACGGGCCTGCTCTGACGACGCTTGCTTGTATTTACTGTATTTTGGGTGGTTTGGTTTGGTTTGTATTGCACCGTATTATGTTTTAGTATTGCACTGCGTTTATGGTATGTTAGTGTTAATAAATGTTATATCTGTGTATACCATTCTGAGGGCGGTTTCCTGCTTCAGTCACACACTTGTCATACCTGGGAAGCCCTGACACTTAGTTTGTGAAATGACTCAGGCGTGGTTAGTTGGTGGGTGGGCCAGTTTTCCTGACACAACTGTGAATCATGCCCAAACCATAGGCCCTGGCCTTCAATTAAGCTGCTGCTGCCAGGTACGCCTCCTATGTGCTGAGAGTGTGTCATGGGTCACCTGTACGCCTCCCATTGCTGCTGACTTCATCGCCAGCAGACTTGCCATGTGCCACTTTCAGGTCTCCTTACACTGTTTGGTGAGGTTCCATTTTGTCATAGGGTGCTGGCAGATTACGGGCCTCCCATTGCTGCTGCCAGGCCCCTATCTCTGCCAATGGGGCCCCCGTACCGCCTGTCCTCAATGCTGCTGCCAGGTCCAGAGTGTGTCATGGGGTCCCTGTACGGGCCCTCCCATTGCTGCTGTACTCATCGCCACACTCTGCCATGTGCCACTTTCAGGTCTCCTCGACACATGTGGTGGGTTCCATTTTTGTCATAGGGTTGCTGGCAGATTACGGGCCTCCCCATTGCTGCAGCCCAGGCCGTAATCTGCCATGGGCCCCGTTACCGCCTCCTCCTCATGCTGCTGCCAGGTCCAGAGGTCTCATGGGTCCCCATGTACGGGCCTCCCATATTGCTGCTGTCTCCATCGCCACAGCTCTGCACATGTTGCCACTTTCAGGTCTCCTCACACTGCTGGTGGGTTCATTTTTGTCATAGGGTGCTGTATGGCTCCATTGCTGCTCTGCCTCCAGCCGCCACATGTGGCTCCACACTCTGTTTTGGGCCCCCGTGACTGCCCAAATGAGTGAAGTGTGCGGTGATTCTAAGATCGAGCCGGCACTCATCTGCATGTCATACTGACTGACAGTATTATTTCTCTTCCCCAGCAGACTCCAAGGGCATTTTTAAATTAAAGGTTTACAGTGATTTCTGCACTAATATTAAAGGGGGGGGGGGGGGTGGGGATTCCCCTTTTTTTTTTTTTCTCTGAAGCCCTAGAGAAACCCTTTTTATTAAGTTAAATCGGCAGCGAATATAATTCGCATCGAATCAAATTTCACAGAATCAGACGCCGAATCAGCCGAATCGTAAAATTTGTGAATACTTTCGCATCATTATCAATTGCTTGAGAATAGTTGATGATAAAAAGGTTTAACACTGATGTTCTCATTCAGGCCAGGATTTTTAGTTGTGGCCAGTTTGAAAATCTATTTAGTTTCCAGTTGAAGGAGACGCTTATCGACACCCCCACCTCTCTCTGATCATTTCACATGTTCCAGGGAAAAGAATTTAAATACTGTTGCATATTTCTTATGGTCATAGATGTAGCTTAGTGGGACAAACCAGCCTTTTGGACTGAACTCCTTGATGCCTGTTCCAACCCACAAGACTTACCTTTTATTGGTGGCTCTCCTCCTTACCTCTGGACCTATCACCATACAGTGCCATCCCACTTTTGGTTTGTGTATTGTGTTATGCAACTGTGAGTACAACATAATTTTGTGTCTTTGATTATTTAGTTATGTTGGACATATATGTCCTAATGTTCACATTTGTACTGTTATTAGCACCCTGAAGAAGCTCCTCATGAAACACGCTGGGATGTATCTCTTGCCTTGCACTCACCTTATCATTGGAGATGCATGATTATCAGCAACGTATTTGTTTATATATGTTTGCCTATGATTTGTTGATATAGTGTTTATTATTGTATCATATAAGAGGCTGAGTGGTGAGAGTTATATATGGGGTACCTGTATGTTGTATTCCTTCCATTTTGAGATTCTGTAGCTCCACATGATGTGCACTAATTATGTTTTAATCTTATGCAATAAACTATATTGCTTTTATGTATGATCTGTAACTGTCTTTTTTTTTTGGGGGGGGGGGGGGGTTCACCTCCTGAAAAATCTCATCGTTTGTCTAAAATTTGTTTTGATATTTACTTATAGGAATGTGGTGCATTTTGAATTTACCAACAGCAACTGTTCTGACACTCCAATACAAGATCAGTACTCAATGATTAGGCACAGGTGTCACTCGTCTCATTAATTTTACTTCAGTTTTTACATGTGCACATTAAAAAACATATGACTTGAAAATACCAAACACATACCTACCCCAATCAATATACTACACCTCATCACTCTATCCCTAACTCTATTACAATGGGAAAAATTCGGCCTAAACGACGTAAAAGATCTCTACACAAATCACAATTTGGAATCGTTCCAGACTCTACATGTTAAATTTAATCTACCCGCAACCGAATACTTCACCTACCTGAGAATAGTTTACTGCTTACGAACAATAAATATTCCTCATTTTATGAAAGTTCCTACCACCGCATACCAATTTTTTAACAAAATAAAATATCCAGGTAAAGGTATCTCTACCTTTTACATACTAATAGTAGACTTACTATTTACCCTACAATCTTCATCCTTAATTAACTGGGAAAAAACGCTCATACAGGCAATACCTCCACACCTGTGGGAAAAAAACCTTCATCATCACCTATAGAGCCTCACGATGTAGTTCTCATTGGGAATTGTACCTAAAAATACTACATCAATGGTACTTAACACCCGTTAAACTTTCACTATATTATTCACAACACTCCTCCTCCTGTTGGAGACAATGCGGAGAAATAGGATCAACGCTCCATACACTATGGACATGCAAATCACTCAGATCCTTCTGGAATAGCGTCTTCCGAATGCTCTCAACATTATCTAAAACTCCAATAACCCCAAACACTGCTCTAGCACTCCTCCATATTGGAATCAATGATTTCCCTCAAGACTGCCGTACCATTATTATCCACACATTATCGGCAGCTAAAATAAACATAACTAAATTATGGAACACTACTAAATACCCTTCTCTTACTTCACTGATAACAGATCTTAACTTCCAATGCGATATGGAAAAAAGATCTGCCCTAAACAATTCTACCTATCACACATTTAAGCTCCATTGGTCTCGATGGTCACAAAACCCAAACTGCTCCGTAAAATTCTGATAAATTCACTATAAAATACCTTGACCCATCTGCCTAGACAGGTGCACTTGCCCTTCCCTCTCCCCTTTCCCACCTCCCCTATTTCCCTACTCCTTGTTCTCCACCCCCTATAGATCTCTTCTACAACCTTACATGGTTCAGAATATACTGAGCATACCTCTCATGCCAACACCACTTATACTAGTATTACCCCCAGCCAAATGGTGGGGAAAATATTGTTTTGTTTACTTTCCTATACTACAATATTTCTAACTGAACCGTATTTACCTACAATGTCTTGTTACTAAAACTTCAATAAAAACTATTGAAATTTAAAACCTATGCCTTGTATGTATAGTTCGAAAATGGGCGTAGCTGGTCTTTGAAGTAACATAATTGGAAATTCACTGCTTTCTGCTGCCTGAAATAAATCTACAGCCTCCAATACCATGATAATCTATTCTCATACTTGCCGCTAGAGTGCCAGAGATCTGAGCTCATTTGGCAGACATTAAGGTTTTATTGAGCCTAGTCATATCCCACCATGTGAAATATACATGACAGGCAAAGACTGAAACTGAACCAATTTAAAATGCTACTTATTTTAATTGAGCTTTTGCGGTTAAGCAACATTTAAACTTAAAGAGTACCTGTCTTCCAGTACTGTAAAATATAACAGACTATAGAAAGAGTATAAGCTAAAATGAACACATCATTAGTATGCCTGATGTTAGTTGCAATAATGAGTGGACCTTGAAAATGTGCATATTCACAAGCTGGAAAGACTATGGTGACTCCTGATCCATTGAGACATGTTCTAATGTCTTGCCATTATTATCAATTACAGTAGCAAAAAGAATTCCTTGGTTTTTGGCACTAACAAACTGGTCTCTTTGGAGAGAGAGAGAGAAAGAAAGAAAAGAAAGGAAAGAGAAAAGAAAGGAAAGAGAAAAGAAAGGAAAGAAAGAAAAGAAAGGAAAGAAAGAAAAAAGAAAGAAAGAAAGAAAGAAAGAAAGAAAGAGAAAGAAAGAAAGAAAGAAAGAAAGAGTTCTACCTTTTTCCCTTATTTGTCATATAATATTATCAGCTTATCTAGAAAGGAGGAATGTGTCATTGTATTCAGAGAGACACAGACGGCAATTTAAAATTTGGATAGTTTAGTGGATTTTTACAACTATTTTATGCTATTGAGGGATTGCTTGCGGGCTGTGACATAAAAGAGGGACCAATAAAGAGCTTTCAACAGCCTCTATGCATAGGTACTGTTAGATGGTGTAGCAAAGGGAATGATATATGTCATTTTAAGTAAATAAGCTTGAATATTTTTAATAAAAAAGCAAATATGGGTGAAGGGTTTCTTCTTCTGAATTATAGCTCTAAAACACTGGTGAGGGGATTTATTGGGCTATAAAAAAAGTACATTATACCATATGAAAGTTGCTTCATAAAGATATTTAAAGTATGTCATTTCTGAAGATAATAGCCTCAAATATTGTACAAGAGATGGACAGTATGTAAGGAGCTTGGTCAGGCTGAATTGTAAAATAGGAGAAATGTGGCAGGTTTTATCTTAATCTAAATACTAAAGTGTATTTTCAAGACAATGGCCAGAAATTATGCATGAAAGCAGCTTCTTTAAACCAAAACGTAAGAGGAAAAGATGAAAAAAGGTTCTACCTTTTTTAAGCATGTTCCTTGCTTCCTCCATTTCTCTCTTTTCTCCATTTCTTTCCTTCGTTCCTCCTCTCAAATCTCTCTCCCTCTCTCCTCCTCTTTCCTATTTTGTCCTCCAGCAATAGCATTCATGAGGCAGCCAAAGAAGTTTAGTTTTGTGTCATCAGCCTATGGTAGTAGTTGGTCCCATGTGGGGATATCTGATAAGGTAAGGGGGACTGTGATAGAGATGTGTGATATAAGATGTATATAAGGGAGTACAGGTTCTGTTTATTCATCCCAATCTAATGACAGCCCTATATATACTAGTGACACTGTCCACTGCCCCCACAATATCATTGTGAAAAAAAAACAAATACAAAAATACATTGTAAAAAATAATAAAAAAATTAAATAATAAAAACAAAAAAATTCTGTCACCCATTCCATTACTCTACTGACACCATCCACTGGCCACCCAGAAGTATTTTGAAAAAATTATAAAAAAATAAAACTGTAAATTGTAAAAAAAAAAAAATAATAAAATAATAATTATAAAAATACAGAACTACTGACACCATCAACTGCCATACTGACACCATCCTGCACATACTACCCACTGCCATACATTTTGCAGTCTTCTTGTACATGCTACCCACTGTCATACACTCCACACTGTACATTCCCTGTTTAATATTACCACATTCTGCACCATTTAAGTAATCTCAGACACTATTTAACCACACCCCTTTTAAGGGGTGTGTCCAGTCAGTCGGTATTTGTGTATAGGCCAGGTGGGAGGCCATTAAATAAGAAAATAAACAAATAAGTAATCAAATAAGATTACTTATGCCCCCTAAAGGGTAACCACTGTAGGCATTAGGGACGTATGGGTTCTACTGAGTTAGGTATTAGTTTTAGATACAAAGTAAATGAGTTAGGCAGGTTTTTGCTTTGAGGGTTTATGTGGAGAGTCAGAAGGATATTGATGCTTTCCTGATGGGACTTTTTGCCACAGGGCTGCAAGAAGAAGGAGGTGGTGGAGGACAAACAATAGTGAAGGCACAAGTAAGTTATCACATTTAAAATACACCGCCAAAAGGTAACTGGTTCAGTTGGAATGGTGAAGTCTATGCAAGGATAATAAACAGCATGACTCAATGTAACAGATAATGTCCATCCAAAGGTGACAATTACCAAAACGAAATATAACAGACGAAGTCCATCCAGGGTAATGTAGAAATGAATGTCCATCCACTAATGGCAGCCTCTAGTTAGAAACTGAAG